CACGGAGCTTTACTCAGCAGCCATCCTCGAAAAATCACAACCCCGGGGCAAAGCTGAATTAACGTTTCCTTGCGATTAAGGTGCAACGCCGAGGACAGACGGTCATGCAAAACGAGCTCGGACACATAATCAATGGACGATGGTGAGGAGAGGGCCACCGATGGACGGGGTGGGGGGACCAAGCTCCCCAGAGAGAGGCCTGGATGCTGGAGAGAAAGTAGCAGCACCGAGGAGCACCACGCTGGCTGCTAATCTCTCTTTAGAGTGGAACATCAAAGATCAGCTCAGCCATTCAGCCCAGTGGAAACTAACATAGCTACTGGGGCCACCAGTACCAACATGCACTTGTTCCAGGTGGAGCTGTGCACCGAGTGGGAATGTGAGGCTCAGGAAGGCAGACACTGGAGAAGACGGAGCAAAAGAGCCAGGGGCGGGAGAGGAAAACAGGGGAAACAGCGTTATTCCAATTAAAAGCAGTTTGGACAAGTACTAAGAGACCCAACAGGAAATTAGGTGGTTAAAGATTGACACACACTTGAATGTTCACTGTGGGCAACAAGCAGCTCCTGTCAAGTGCCAAAAATAGAAGGTGTACCTTTGCATTTTCAGGAATTCAATTTAACAAGTCAGGTATTAGCTGATTACTGCCCTCAAACGCAGTTGTTCTTTTTTTTTTTCCTTTTGTTGGTTAATTCTGTCCGTTGGCTTAACAAGGATTTGGGAAAACAATTAAAGTTTATCTTTAATGGCCTCAATAGATCTGATGTTTTGTTATGAAGCATGAATTGTTGGAATATTTCTTTTTTCCATCAGGTTGACACCAGAGAAACGACGGGAAGCTTCCAATCCATCCGAGGCTTGAGAGACAATCCATCGCCGGTTAGTTGTAACCATCACTTGAAGTCATTCACATGCAATATAGGATGCGTAACAAATGTTGGCCGAGTCTGAAAGACCGGAGTGGAGATGGGGGGTGAGTTTGTGCGTGGGAGGGGGGGTGTTAAGCAAGAGAAAGAGAAAAACAGTTTAGTCTGTTCTATTCCAAAAAGGGGAGAAACGCAGCCTCAAATTACTTTGGCTGGGACATGAAAGTGAAACAGGGTGGCGGTTAAGAGACGATAGCACTTAAAATACAGCTGCGACCGCCAAGCCAATAAATGGAAAAAAGTAGGGAGCAGCACTTTTAACCTTTTAAACCAGCGTTTGTGTACTGCTACTGTTGCTTTGGCGCTGGGAGTGGCCCGGTCCCTGGCACCTACCGTCTGGGCCCGGCCCATTATGGCCTCTTGGGGTTTCCAGGCTGTGGTGAGAAAGCGCGCTGGATGCCTTAAACCACTAAAGCTTTCATTATAGTCTAAATGCAGCGCGACACAACTCCTGCCAGCTCCAAGGTAGGAGCTCCAGTATTTAAGCTCATCGTTGTCTTAGCTGAAAACCACCACTTTCCCCCTGCACATCCAGTCAGAGAAGAAAAAAAAAAACTGCCGCTTTCAAAGAACCGCACCATCAAGTCTCCCGGCTATAGTTGCTTCACAAGCATGGAGATGAAGTTCAAAGGTGAAACGGCTGCTCGTGGTGTGTTGGGAAACTGTAGCCTCTTCTTCCTGACGCTGGATTCAGGGGATGCTCTGTGTCCCTTCTGAGAGGAAGTAGGCAAAAGCCACATTATTCCCTCTCGGTTCTGGCCGACGACACTATGAGTTCCATCTGGTCCTCTCCGTGCCCCTGCCACGTCCCTGCCTCAGCTCCTCACTCACATGCTGACAGCACAGGCCACAGGCCCGCTGGAAATCAGAGGCAGATGTGAACTCGTGCGGCGCATCGCAGCTCATCTCGCTACAGGAAAGACGATTTGGCGTCTGAGAGACAATAGAGAATGATGAGCAGCAGATGGCGCTTCCCTTTGCGTGGAAACCAGCTCTAATCAGGAGAGCCGTAGACGACGACGCGAACGAGAAGAGCGCAGCGATGACAAGTCTAACGGAGCATCCCGTGCTGCTGAAATTAAATTAAATCTAGACGTACTATCTGCTGCTTTTGTCAGCCCACATCAGCGCAGGTGTCCACGTTCGCACCCGGTCGACTCAGTCAAGCACAGATTGGATTGTGCCATCGCCGCTCTGCTTAGAAAAGACTTCACTGCTGCTAGTGTGTGGAAACAGAAACTCTATCACGCACTTTTAAAACATAAAGCATTGAGTAGTTCAAGCACAGAACTCAGGATTTCTCCACTTAATTAATTTGTCTCGGCTTCCTTTTTGACTTCACCAGAATATATTTTCATCACAGCAGTCGAATCAGGAAGCATTCAAATCCGGGACAAGAGGTGAGACAATTAACCAGCTGGCAGGATGAACAACCTGCAGCAGCAGCTTTCTGCTTTCACAAGAAGCTCAAGAGCCCGTCGCTGCAGATACGCTCTTGTAAAATTGTCGTTCCTGTTGATGCGCTCACACAGCCTCGCGTCCTGACGGAGTGATTTGAGGAGACATTGATTACTTTGCTATTACGGAGCTTGAACTGCAGCAATCAGGGAACTGGCTTGGGAAGCCTGGGGTTTGGCACCGTGGTCAGATCTGCGTCATCCTGCTCTTTCCCCCCATCCACCCACCCACCCAAACGCTTTCACTTTGAGGAGAGCAAGAAGCAAATTAACTTAATTTATTATTTTTGGCCCCGGCAGCGTGTGCCACTCTTTGCACTCTTCAGGCAGAGCTGAGGGGGTGTTAGCTTTAGGGAGTTAGCAAAGGGCGAGTCAGGAGGATGGTGGTTCGGGTCTTTGCTCAGGACGGTTGCCAAAACCCTTCTTTTCACCCCTTCACATTTGAACCCATACCTGCTGAGGTCTGCACACACTCAAGGTAACGCCAACCCCTCGGGGCTCCAATCAAAACGACAGAAGGGAGGACTAGAAGGCTCCCAGACCGAGCTCAACTCTCACGGGCTCGAACCTTGAGAGCCAAAAGTCGCGGCGGGCTGCAGAGGTCACCGCGGACAGACGAACGCTCAAGAACCTAAATATTTGCTTTCAACCCAATTCCAGTGTAAAACAACACCGCAGAAATTTCCCAACACGCTCCTGCGATGTTATTTCACAAGTACGAAATTTACAAGTGGGGAATTCGATACCCGGTTTTAAAATTACACTCCTCAGGTTGTACGGTTGTCATTCATTGTCAGTTTCAGCTTACATAAATCTCCGGGAGACTATATGCTGTAAGAAATTCAAGACAGTGCTCTGGTGCTGGAAAAACTGCCCCTCATTATAGCCTGACAAAATATAAGCTGTCTCTAAGTGGTCAGAAGCTATGTTAGTAAAGAAAGCAAACCTAAATAGATGTGGTTTTCGATGTAAAGCTGAGGTCCGGCATTTCTGTGCGGTTACCGAGTGGCGCCAAATGGCCATCACTGTGTATAAACAGGAGAACTTTTTTGTGCATGAGTATTTCCCCCCCTCACACATATCTTCTCTTCTTTTAGAGGGAAACAACAAAAACGCAGGCGTGCAGCGAGAAGATGCTGCTGCGTGGGTGCAGAGCAGGAAGGAGCGGCTGAAGGCTGCGTCAAGGAAGTGCAGACAAACGTGCAAATGACTCCTGCGCTCGCCGGACAGTCGAGGTTGATGCAACGTGTCGATTAAACCCCCTCAAGCTTTATTAAACTCTCTGCAGTGCAGCCCGTCCTCCCATGACAGCTCTGATCTGCACACTTTAGCAGCTCCTCGCGTTCATCCAACAAATGCAAATCACCATCCGCGCTGTGACACCTCAGATTTCCTCGCCTCATGATCCGCCACCAAATAAAATAAAGGAATCACCCTCCACAGCGTGTCACGCGGCTCACTGGTCCGGCTATCGGTCCCCAATCTCCCACCCATCAGACTGCATTGGACGCACTTTGCATTCCAAATAAACACAACTTCAAAGAGCGCCACACAGGCCATGCAAAAAGTGCTTTACAGGCAAGCAGCATTTCCAATTATCCACAAAGAGCCCAAAGAGCTGTCCCATCCCAGGTCAGGGAAAATCTACCATTAAAACTCTGACACATGACTCTTTGCTGCTGTGGGCCCAGCAGATTAAGCAAGAATTAGAAAACTTCAAATAAACACTTGGCAACCGGAGGAAAAAAAAAACCTTCATATTTTTAGTGACTTCCACTCAGTCAAAGCTGGATGGTTTGATCCAAGCATAACCAGCTCCGGCCAAGTGCACTTGTCATGTCTGGGACACAGAAATAAAAAAAAGATGGAAGCTTCATCCAATGATGCCTGCTCAGTCAATTCTGTATTTTA